TTATAGTGAAATGAGGAATTGGTTTAGTATTTGTCAATAAACAGTTCATAGAGTTATAGTGTTGCCGAATTTGGTCATTTATTTTTTATAGAACAGCTTCCCAGCTCTTATATTAACACTTAGTTACTTTGGATATACAATCATGAGGTGCTCGGGTGTATTATCTAGGAGTAAATACGTTTTTTCTTTCGCTACTCCGTTTTTGCTTTGTGGTGTGGGGCAGAATTAATGCTTGTGATGTTATATATGGTCATTGTTTTCTGGAAAAAGGTTGCATTTGTGTGTGGTTTACATATTTCTCTCTACACATTGTCAAGAACCGGAGGTTTTTATTTCTTTCTGAAATTGTGGTGTGTGGAACTTAATGTTGTAAATAACTAAAAACTTATCTCATAGAGCTTTAATGACTTATCGTTTCAAGCAAAGAAAACCCGAGTCATTCTGGTGCAAATCTATCAATAAAGAAGAAATACGAAAAGACTATTTTGTTAAGTAACACGGGTTGACCCGCACACAGTCAGAATGTAACAATAATTTGCGAAAAAAAAGGATAATCAGTTCCTTCATTAGGATATAACTGTCTATGGACTCGTGTATTACCGAGAGATACAGTATCACAGACAGATGTATGAAGGTAGAAATACTTATAGAAATATAGTCAGATATCCTTAATAAGAAGGTGGACCTTCACATGAATACCACAAGAGCAAATAACACGTGAGTCCTCATTCCCGTTAACAGCTAATGGAGGCAAGTTAGCACGGCCCAAGCCCATGCCAAGCGTACTAACATAGGCCACATAGTAATGTCGCTTGGTCTTTTCTGAAGTAACCACTCAGCCTCTATGATGATTCTCCGCCGGTATTGGGCCGGAAGAAAATCCATCTCGCCAAAAATTAGACTCTAAAGGCTCACCTAGATCTAGGAACCAACAGCTATTAGGCTCTTTGGACATAGTGGACTCGAACTAAAGATGTACGTTTTTATGTTTACGGGTCTAAGAGAGCAAACAGTATAGAGCACGTGATAATTTCTGTTATATAAGGCGGTGATAAAATCTCATAGATTGCTGAGGTGAGAGATTCATAATTGAGGAAGAAATTACAAAACTCTAAACTCTTTTACTTATCGGTCAAAAGATTTCTTAACTCAATAGAGATCCTCACTTTCCTAATGACTATGAGACCGTATTCCAGAAAGTCTTATATAAATTAGAGAAGAGTACAGCCCATGAGTCAGGGGTTGGATTCTTGTGACTTTACCATCGGCTGGTGTCTATTATTTCTCTCTCTTCTCTCTCTACATCGTTCTCTCTCTCTAAGATGTCAAGTACTCAACATTTGTGTTCAAGATTCAACAAGAAGTCGTCCATGTTATTTGTTAGTAGTTATATATATCTCTAAACTCTTAATCTTGTTGTTTACTTTTTCATTCATCCTATTGTATTATGGCTTATTTTCAAATTTTAATTGAGTGTATTTTATTTAATCAATATACTTTACGCCTATGTCCAACTAATTTCCCAATACTGGGAATTTGATTGTGCTTAATTTCTTTTTCAATTTTTACTAATATGTCAAGATTTGATTTGTTTTTCTCTGCTTGCTATCGCTGATTAATTTATTATTAATTTACTCTTTTCGGCGAGAGTTTTCCCCTAGTTGATGTTTATTCTTATGATCACTATCGTAGAAGAAGGGATTTTTTGATATGAAAAGTGTAAGATCTCAGATTTACATGGGATATAATTCTTGCTTGCAGCAAGCTATATGGTATTAGCTCCAATAGGGTGGATTTTTCATGAGTAATGACTTCTGTAAGTATGAGTTTATAATATAAACCGCATAGTAATAAATTATGAATTTAATTCATGTTTTGATGCGCTATTGGAGATAGGTAATGTTAGGATCCAGATTTAAATAGCAAACATACATCCGGGAGAGCTTGTTATGAATGTTTAGGGTTAATTTCTGCATACACCTTGAACAAATTCTTTAACAAAAATGATCTCTATAACAAATAAACTTTAAATAAATTGGGGAGTAGAATTAGTGACGTCAAATCTTAGTAGCTTTTAAATCCTTGATTTCCTCTCTTTCATCCAATATTCTTGCTTTGATTTCTTTTTATTTCTATTGTTTTATTCTGGTTTAAAACTTAGTCTTCGTAGATAATAATTCCTCTTATTGCCTTCGCGTTTACCTACAATAATAGTAGAGTTTAACAAATTATTGGTATTCGAGGCCCATATACAACTGTCTGTAGGGATTTTTGGAACTGAAAATAGTACTCTAACTACTCATTCGTTTTAATTACATTGTTGCGATTTCGTAATTACTTGTGCAATAACTAGACTGGTTTCAAATTGGTTTGTTTCGCTTAAAAAAGAAAATGAGCAGCAAGCTATTACATATAATAAGAAATTGTTTATGATTCAAGTATGTTGGACATTAGACAATCAAAAAATATTTTACGTAATATATTAAAGTGTTAATATTAAAATAACCTCTCAATTTAAAAATGAAGAATTTTTATTACTTTGATTATTTATAAGATAAAATTAAAATGGTGTAGTATTAAAGAAATGAAATATAAAGGCGCATGGACTAGTCAAACAGGTTGTTAACGCACTCTAAGAAGGAGAAGCTGACTGTTAACCAGAGTACTATAATATAAAAGTGGGAATTTAAGGTGGGCAAATAAAGGTCCATTTCCAGGATATCATTATAGCCTGCCACTACCATATCAAATACTATATAGATACTATTTCTCTTTAACTTAGATACAGCCAACTTTTTATCGAAATTACATTTTATAGACTTTTATATTATAAAATTATTTTTTTAAGCTAATCTATTTGTGGGTTCCAGAGTAGTTGTTCTCATTTTTAGCATGCGGTGAGATAGGTCGTCGATTATTATTTCGATCGTCTTGTACTACAAGTGTTTTTAGCCCAATTTGAGTCCGAGTTATAGAGAGTATTTTGTTGTTGTAGCCGTAGTTTTTATTTTTCGGGCCCCCTATAAGCCTCCTTAATGAATTTAAAGAAAATTATTTTTTTAAATTAAATATAATTAAGCTGATATTGAGACATTTGAAAATGTTTTATAATTCCTTATTACTTATAATATTTCAATTACTTTTAGGATATAGATATTTAAAATAAAGGAAAAATGATATTTTCTTTTTTTTTTATATTTCTTTTTTTTCGTTTATGTTATTGGTACTGGGTGCCCAGTGTATGATCTTTAGATTCGAGGTGTATTTTTTTTTAAAAGAATAGGAATTTCAAGCAGAGAGTATATAAATAATTTATTTAAGGAGAGACACAACCAGAAGAGATACAGAATAATAGATAGTTTTTTTGTTATACTATTTTTCTCTGTTGAGATATATATAATATAGCGTAATTTAATTTTTACATAAGAGAGAAAGATAAATTTTCAATAAAATGATTTCTCATGGATTAAACTTTGATGACATAATAGGTATAAAATTTTAATTAAAATATATATAATATTTTATTGATATATTTATGAGTATTCTATGTACGATTTCAAACTTTTTGCTATTTTATGTGGGGTATGACAGAGCTCTGTTATTTTTAATAATTTTTTATTTGCTTTTTTTTCATAATAATTTGAACTACTATTCATTTAAATAACGAGTCATTTTATTTTGCATAAATAAGGACTATGGATGATTAATCATTTTTAGGATTATCCCACTATGAGCATAATAGGATGATTCTATTGTTATTTTTAAATTTTGCATGAGTATCTTACTCTTTTAACTATTATTATCTCCCCCTAAATCTATTGATTTTAAAGAGGACATTTTGTGTTTAGGAAGTTACCCTAGCAAAAGAAGTGATTGAGGAATCATAATATATAAATCTATCTTTTGAAATCTCTAGTGGTTTTCAAGAAAGGACTCTGTGTAGAAAATAAGTGCTTGCTAATATTATTATTCTTTCTCTGAATACACTGGATAATAATTTATTTACCGGTCTGCCAAATTTCTATTATTAAATTCAAATCATCCTCTCTTTTTTGTTATAAGCAATTAAAAAATGTTAATTTAGTTTGTTATTATTTTCTCATTATAAGTTGCATATAGATATTATTTGGTTGAGGGCAGAGGTTTGTCGAGATTGGAATGTGGTAGCGTTTGATTTCATTTTTTTCGGCCACCTATTAGAATTTTAGATAAGATCTGCATTTTCTAAATTAAGAATTTAAAGATTAAAGTCTTAGGGATTAGGAGATTTAAAATTCTATTTATTAAAATCACTTATATTCATTAGGTAAACAATTAGAATTAATACGATATTGGAAAGCGCGGAATTATTGGTATTTTTCCAAAAACAGTTTTCCAATTTAAAATTTCGACACGAAACCTCGACAGGCCTGGAAATTTGGCTATTTAATATTTTGTGCGAATACTATGAGAAAGTTCCGTGGAACTGTAAACCCAGATTTTGATAAGATATCCCGAACT